GTTTTTATGTGCTCATTGGCCATTTTCTATTTAATCTTTGGAGCAGTGTCTATTCAATTCCTTTGCCTATTTCTTAATTGAATTGGTTTTCTTTCTATTGTTGAATTGTAAATATTCTTTATATTTTTGGATTCAAATTCCCTGTCAGATATGTGATTTGCAAATGTTTTCTCTCATTATGTGTTACTTTTCACTTTGTTGATACAAAAGTATTTTTTATTTTGATGAAATCCAATTCATCTATTTGCTTTCTTTAGGCATTTGTACTTCCAGTGTCATTTCTGGGAAGGATTTATCTAAGATTTACTCTTATTGTTTCTTCTAAAAACTTTGAGGTTGCAGTTGTTACATGTAGAAGTGTGATTCAGTTTGAGTTACCTTTGGGGATGGTGTGAAGTTGGAGGTGAACTTCATTCTTTTGTATGTGGTCATCGAACTGTTCCAGCATCATTTTTGAAACTCATCAAGTTTTTATGCAGATGAAAATATTAATATACTTAAGGAACTTAGAATAGTACATGAGGATGGATAGCAGCACTGTATCTAAATTAATGGTCATTATTTTATATTTATTAAACTACATATCTACTTGCATTTCTTTCAAGAAACCATCTTGTAATGTGCCTGGTTTAGTATCTGACAACATAAAATAATGAATGGATTTTGTTGAATGGGATAATAAGTAAACCTTCTCTTCTGAGACTGTCAGTAAATAAACCACAAGACAGATGTCAGCTTCAAGAATGATAATTCTACCATGCTAGGTCTAGCCTGCAACCTAAGGGCCTCTTAAACATTAGCTCCTGTGTTTTATTCGGGGCATGGCATATAATTTCTGGGTACAGATCACCTTGCAGATATAGAATCTCTTCAGCATTATTTTTATTTCAGCATTGTCACCTTTGCTGGATCCATTGGTTTTCACCCCTTCAAAAGTTGAAGATGCAAGACTTGCTTCCAGCCCCCTCTCTGTCTCCCTCTACATTCTTTCTCTAGATGATCTCATCTTTTTAATGACTTTAAATACCATGTAAATGTTAATGACTCCCAAACCTGTTACTCCAGCCTTAGCTCTTCACTGAGAACCAGACTTACATTTCAATTTGTTCACTTCATGTCTGAACTTAGATATCTAACAGACATCTTAAATGCAACATGACCAAAACAGAGTTTTCTCCCACAAATATATTATTCTCCGAGTCCTTTAGTAAAAGATATGGTGTCATACCATAGCCTCTGACTGTTCTCTTCCATCCTGGCTGCTCCAATTCTACCAGCTATGTAACAGCCCCCTAGCTTCCTTTGAAAAAGATAAATTACATTGTGACCCCCAATTGGCTTTCCATTACAATAGAGTAAAATTAAAAAATCTTTGCAAGACCAACCCAAGTTTCTTTGTCTTACTTCTTAAATTGCAAGATGATAAACAATGAAATTTCTACCAGGTTCTTTTTTTTTTTTTCTTTTTTCTGTGGTACCGGGGAATCCATCTCAGGAGTGCTCTACTACTGAGTTACAACCCCAGCCCATTTTAAAAATCTTTCTTTCTTTTGAGAAAGGCTCTCACTATGTTGCCCAAGTGGGCCTCAAATTTGTGATCCTCCTGCCTCAGATTCTCTTAGTGCGTAACAGGCATGAGCCACCATGCCCCACTGGGTGCATATATTTTATGGTCTGA